TATATATATATATATATATATATGTAAGAAAAGCAAGGATAAAAGAAAAACGCGTCACAGCCAACTGAATTTAAAAATGAATTTTTACGAGAGCAAAGAAAAACTCAGTTACACTTCCGGCGGGCAATACTCGTTCCCTTCCGTTTTGAATCCTCGTTCAGCTAGCTCATCACGCGCGATTCCGTAAAAAAAGAAAAGGAAAAAAGGGAAGAAACTCTATGTTGTCCTGTCGTGATAAAACGATTTAAGAGACGATACAAAAAACGAAAATATTCGCGCTAGGTGATTAGCGAAGTGGCGAGGAGGAGAGAAATAATCTTTAAATTATCGCGAGGAGAAAAAAAAGAAGAAGAAGAAGAATAATGAACAAATGAAATAAATAAAAGCGAAACTATTAAACACACATGTACCACTAAACATAAACTATACATATTTAAATTATTGAATGCTAAAGTCATATTCGTAATAATAAAAGAAATGATTAATAATCGATTAAAAACTGAATATTAAAGCTAGCCTGTAATCGATAGCGACGTAGTTATACTCTGACAGTAATTATAGGGGTGATTCAAAGGTAGTATATTAGCAGTTAGGGTCGAACTTTATCGAGATCACTTTCTCTAAACTAACGATGGAAAAAGAAGAGGGAGACGAAGAACACGAAGACGAGGAGGATGAGGAGGAGGAAGTTACATCTAATTATCTCTCGATGCTAACCTATTGAATTTAACGGACGTAAAAGCCGCGCTGATGAGATTCCAGAAGACCGATTTACATAGAGCGCGATCTAACTCTCTCTTCATTACCTATCTATATCTTTATTCCCTATGTACTTTAACAGAGAAACGGAGGAAAAAAAAAGAAAGAATTCGTCTTGTATTGTCCACCGTCACAACGGTCGTCGTGATCGATGACGCGCAACAACGACGGCGTCGTCATCGATCGCCGTCGCGAATGCGAGACAAGAGAGAGAAGAGCGTGGATACACACACATACACACAAAAAAAAGAGTTACTATGTTTACCGTAGGCTCTCCGATGGGACGATGCAATTGAACTGAACTCACCCGATCTCACTTGACTTTTAATTATGCCTCGACAACACAGCCTGGTCCGATAATAGTAAATTCGTACACACGACGGAGATATGAAGAGAGCGTGAATAAAAATTTGTTATATTTCTACGCTGGGCTCCCTTTTTTCGAGGCAAACGTTGATCGATATGAGAATCCCTGTTAACTGGTGAGCACTGTAATCGCCGCATTGTAATATTATTAACATTATTACGTTATTATGAAATTGTTGAAATAAATGAAATGAAAATAAAGTGTCTACTCTGTTTCCCCTCTCTCTCTCTTCACAGTTCGTCGCAGCCACGCGCGAAATAGATTCCGATAGATTTAGGTATTTCCGATAAATTAAGGGCGCGAGGGTAACATCATTCGTGAACGGGAACAGGATAAAAATGAAAAATATTGCGTTGCAGAATACAACCGCAGTCACACGGACACAATAAACAAGAAGATGTGAAATTCGATGGGCTTTATTGATTTACGATTATACAAAGGATGAAGATTTACATTGTAAAAAGGGCTACTTTATTTCTCTTACGTTAAAGTTTTCTCACTTTTTTCTTTCACCTACCAACAAATGTAGTAATGCACGAATATAGTCGCCGTATTATTTATCATGCATAATAAAGTATAAACATTACAGTTCAACAATATCTGTGCTCCTCTTTCGTTTCGCGCGCGCGAAATCAAATATAATACACGTGTTTGCCGTACGCGATTGTCTACTTTCCCGCGACAGATGAAGGACAACGGTATACACCTGGCTGAAGCGTATACTCTTTTATTCCTTTATTGTTAATATCTTTACTTATTGTTATCATTCACCTGAAACCGCTTTAGTGTCTCACGACTGCGAGTGAGTTAGCGTTACCGCGTGAAGTTTATCGACGCGAGAGAACCGAACGAAGCGCGTGCGCACGTTGCTGGTGTCTCTAACTTTTAATATTTCTCTCGAGAGGAAGACACATATTGCGCCATCGGTAACTAACGCATCGTAATATAATGTCGTGTTAACTACGTTTACGTTTGAGTACGAGCCATCACTGCCATTTAATTTCGCAAGGGCCGATCGAGTCGTACAAGTTCTTCCGCGAGACCGATCGCGGGAAGAGGAAGAAATGCAAGCAATGCGATCGATACGATGACGGGCGTTTTCGTCTTTCTTTCACCGGGAGAAACTCGAGTCTCGCGGTAGCGATCGACGGAGAACCAACAGTCCGACTCGTGCCGACCTATCGATCGTGATCGCGCAGATACGTTCGCAACGAATACATTAATCTAATTGACACATCTCGCGCGAAATTCGTTCGCTACGAGGTCCTCGGCGAGATTGTCCGGCGGACGTGTCGGGGTCGTCGCGATTTTCTCGACCACCGCGACAAGTATCAAACGCGGGCACAGCTAGTTGTACAACGTGGGACACGAGGAGATTCGCACGATTATTATCAAAATTATCTCAAATCTATACCTAAGCCATTGTCGCAATTGATTCCGCGTGTCCATCCGTGTAATGAACGCTTCGACCTTACCTTACGCGGGGAGATTTGATAACTTTGATATTTGTGAATTCGATCGATACTGATTGAGAGATACCTGTCGCTGAAGAGATCGCTGTACGATGAAACGAGGGAGGATTTGTTTCAACGTTGTTTTCGCAATGTTTCACGATGTTTCACGACGAACCGTGCCTGTTCGTTGGCGTATGTCACTCGGTATATATTCGGCGGCTCGATCTCAGAGATGGAAAACTGCGGCCGACGATAAACGCGCTAACAAATTGCGACGAGATTACTAGCTCAAGAAAAAAATACACTGACTCGCGAGATTTTTTAATGTTAAACGTGAAGCGTAAATCCGGGATCGATAACGCGCTTGTCACTATGCTCGCCTAGCTAACCAGCCTATGGGTATTCGTATGCTAATTGAGAGGTATCAATATGGCTGTCTACGTAAGATTGTGCGTACCGTCATTGTTGCTATGTTACAATCGTTTCGCCAAAGCTCCGTCGACTTTAATTCCATACTTTCACTATGTATACAATACTATTCGCGCGGACTTCATCGTTTAACATTAAGTGTGGTGGTAGCTACGCTCGGAAGAGATATTTTCAATAATATACCTATGGGGTATCGATACGTACACGAAGAAAATATTGTAGTAAAAATTACCACTGAATTTTGCAATGCTGGACCGAATTATAATTGAAATTATAATGTGTGTTGTAATCTTTAGTGATATATATTTCACTAAAGATTACACGTAATAATTTCCGTCATAATTCCGATACGATCCAGTATTACAAAATTTTGTAGTAATTTTCACTACAATATTTTTTCCGTGTAAGACGTCTTGGGAAAATATACGTTAATAGGAAACAATATTTCGCAAGTAAATTAAATTCAATACTACTGAGCGAGCATTTATCTGGCGTTCAATTTTACTGAGATTCTCTTTGATGCACATTTTCTTCGGACAGATAATCGAAACTTTTCTAGTCAACAGAGTTCACAATTGTTGAGTAATATTACATTAAAATTATCTGCTTCTCGCGTTCGGAGGGAGCTCGGGAATACCAATCTCTCCGGTAAAATCAAAGATGAGAAGCAGCTCTTCCGTTTAAGCGTGTCGCAATGGAGCGGTCGGAAGTTAATGGCATCGGGGAAGACAATAATCGCAGAGGCAGCCATGATTAACGCAATTGGAATCGTCACTATCTACATAATACGTGCCATTTCGATCGCGTCAAGTTCCGTCGCTGGAAAAATCGGCGGGTTCAATCTTTTTTTTTTTCGGAGAGGAAGAGCCGTGAAATGGTGCGGATAACGACGGGAGACAGAGTGTGGAAACATTCGTCAAAAAGATCTATACTTAGTACGGAAGTTCGTAAAGAGATCCGTGTGGTAAAAAAAATGATCGTTCGTCGTACGGAACGTTAAACGTCCGCGATTGAAACAACAAGATCGTTCGCATGACGATGTTACGCATAGATCGATCTCGAGAGAGAGAAGGAGAGAGACGAAATGAGAACGGTCTCGACGATGGCACATTACTCACAACAGCGACTCGCCATCGCGGCGAGTCCGATTATTTTCCGCGGTAGATCTCTATGATACGATCCTGGTCCACGTATTCGAAAATGTGAGGCGCGTCCATTAGGATTCCGATCGTGCCGGCGGTGGTGACTACAAAGAAGACGTAAAGTTGCAGTCGATCGATCACCATCGCGACGTACTTCCAGTCTTCTCTTGTCTGAAAAGAAAAGATGCCGGCAAGAGGGAGACGATTGTCGACTGCGTGTCTCACAAACGTGCCACGGAAAGAAAAGGTCTTGTTGCCGCAGCCAGTCATGGTTTAGCTGAAAATATTCTGCTGCTGCAGCTAGAACCTTGCCGTCGCAACGGAAACTTCGGTCACCGTTGCCACAAGTGTTAAAAGTGCTATACTAACATATATCCACTGTAGCCAAATTTGTAGGCGTCCGTAGACTAACTGAATCTGTTGTAACATATGAACACCTACGAGTTTAGCTACAATGAATACATCAGACATGGCACTCATACGTTTAGCCACAGTGACCAAAGTTCCAGTTACCGTTTCAACTGCAAAACATCTTCAGCCAAACTATGATTCATTGCACCGGCAAAATCCTTTTCTTTCCGTGTAGTGTGAAAAGTCAACTTGTAAGCGGCACCCGCGACACACCTGTATGTACAAGTCCTCGTTCCTGAGATGCTCCGCTATGAACTCTACGGCCTCGGTGGCCTTACTGGCTTCCGGGTTGAGCAGCACCGAGTCCGAACTCTCGGACCCTCTCCTGTCGCCCATACCTTCACCGCCCCCGGCGCCGCTCGAGCTGCTCGTGGTGTGCTGCACCTTACGGTTGATCTTGCAATTGGGATGATGCAGATCCGACAGCTCCATTACTTCCATCTTCTTCGCCGGCAGCTTTGGCACCTCGGTCGGGCTTCCCGAATATGTGGAAGCTGGCAGTGTCACGTTCGGTATCTCCATCATCCATCTGCCGGAGTGACCAACGTTCACACGAGAACGGCAATGCGAGGGTCAATTGAGAATCCTCGCGACGCTTCAGCGAGACGCGTTTTAATCGTTTGCACAATCCTAACGCGCGGTTGAAAGAAGAGATATACCTCAGTCGAGAAACAAACAATCCGAAAACCTTGACAATTTGATAGATACATCACAGTTTCCTGGTTAATTTTCCGCTAAATATTTTCATCACGAATCGCTAATAATATCGCTTAGAAACGAGCTTGCACCTCAGTCGCGTCTTCTTCGGCCGCTTCATCACCAGGATTCTCGGCAGATACTTGAGGAAGATCTTGCGTATGAGCTGTGGCATCCTGTGGGTCCTCGGGCCGCGGAAGTTCCAGTTTATTATGATCACGGTCACGAGGATACTGACGGTGTTCATGATGAAGGTGAAGAGCAGGTATTTGGCTATGAGCGGCAGCACCAGGGAGGTCGGCGGTAGGATTTTGCTGACCAGCAGGAGGAACACAACCAGAGATAAGAGAATACTGATGCCCAAGGTAACTTTCTCGCCGGCCTCCGCCGGAAGGTAGAAGACGAGCACACAGAGGAAGGAGATCAAAACCGTCGGCAGTATCAAGTTTACTGTGTAGAAGAGAGTTTTCCTACGGAAGGACTTTGGACATTTAGCAGGATTCGGGAGCAATAATAAAGCCACAGGGAAGCTGTGGTCCGGCTGTAAAGTTTGCTGCAAGTAGTATACACATTAAAGAGAAACCACGCACAGATGGCCTTTCTTTAGTGTGTATACTACTTTCAACCAACTTCACAGCTGGGCCACAGCTAGGCCGTAGCTTCTAGCATCTACAGCTCGGAAATGCGATTTAGTTATCAATGAAAATCTCACATTACGATTATAGAAAAGCTAAATATAACATCGGAATGAAGGTTGACGAATATCGGAGAATGCGCACCTGCGGATGATTATGTAGAAGGTGATGTCGGTCTCCGTGGGAAAGTCACCGTGATAAGTGTTGAGGTACGCCGGCACACTGATGATGTCCCACGTGCCGCTCTTCCAGTAATCAGACAGGTCAACGAAGTTCTTGTCGTTGTAGAGCGCGAGGGAGACCTGATCGCCATTGAAGGTCCACGAACCGAACTTCATGATGCACGTCTGCTGATCGAACGGGAAATACGTGACGTCGATCGTACACGAGCTCTGATAGATCGCTGGTGGTACCCAGAGCACCTCGCCGTTTGGATATATCAGCACGTTGCTCTTGTAACGGACCTCGTAATTGCCATCGGCGCTGTAAATAATATTCCGAACATCGTCACGTCGGCAAAACTGATCTGGTCGTATGACGAATGAAGAAGTCACTTTTAATTGATAACCGAAGCGATCGCAATTTAAAGAAAATTGAAGCTTAAAATGCTGAAGAATCTACATTTTCCACTGATAATCGAAGTGTAATTAAAATCTTAAAAAATAAAGAAATGAAGAATTAAACAATCTTTGATTTTATTCTCTCTCTCTCTCTCTCTCTCTCTCTCTCTCTCTCTCTCTCTCTCTCTCTCTCTCTCTCTGATGTGATGATAAAACAAAGAGATATTTCAGCAGCTGAAGTTCATTCCCAGATTATATCCGAAACGATGTTCCGAATTAGTAATAAAAAATAAAACGATCAAAAAACATTTCTTCGCTCTAATGAAGCGTAGTAAATAAATAATATTATCACATACTTATTGAATAGTACTATGTCCGGTTTCCACACTTTGTCGGGCGGTAACCTGAGGACGCCGATGCCGCCGTAATCTGCCTCGTCCCACTGCAGTTGATAGTCCATCCACACGAATCTCAGCCACACGTTAGATTTCATGATCTGGTTTTTTTCATTCTGAAAAATTTACTGGACTTGAATGAAGAAAAATAGAAAAGAATAAGAGATCGAACGTTCGGTCCCCGCGTCGCCGTTCGACGAATATTACGAATATTACCTCTCGACCGCGCGAGGGAGAAATAGGACGAGATGGACTCACCACGTTTATCAACTGCACGAAGGCGAGGCCAAATCTCACGTGCACCTTCTCCGTCATGTTCTGCACTGGTCGAATAAGTTTGTTGTACCCCCGAAACAAGTCCCGCACCAATCTCTCCTCATCCTCGGAGCACAGACCTGAAAGCAAGGCGGCCGGAGGAAATAATTAACGAGGTGGACGTCCGCATTTCGGCTTCGTGCGAAAATTCGGAAAACTCGTGCCGTTTCTCCCCTCGCGCACTCCTCTTTTTTCATTCTTTCTGACGGTTGGGAACGTGTCACACCTCCGCCACGGCACGGCACTATCTTCTTTTTGCACGATTTTTCGCGAAAAATGCGCAAGTTTCCCTCTCTCGGAACGGCCGACGGCATCGGGAAAACGGGCGGTGACTCTTACCGACGCACAGAATCGCCGAGATGAGGAATAGTCGCGCGAGACGCAGGCAGAAATACATTTTGGGCGGGTTCCTCGTGGGCCTGGTTCAAGTCCCACTCGAACGTTATGTAAAGCGCCGTGTACAGGGCCGACAGCACCGACAACAGCAGCACCACCACCGCCGCCTTCTCCAACGCCGCCAACACCACGACCGCCGTCAACGCCCCCGCCGCCGTCGCCGCCAGCGTCGTCGCCGTCGCTGCCGTCGCCACCGTGGATCAATATGGAGCCCAGGCTCGGACCAATAATTGCATTTCCTTCCTCATAGTCCGACACGCCGAATCCACCCTCGTCGCGCACTTCCGTGATCACCGAAGGCCGATGATGATCGCTGGAACGCGCTGTGCGACGAAAGAATCGTGGCTGCGAACCGCTCGGTACGGCGAGATTTTCGACGCGCCGGGGTGAACTGAACCACCCGGGGGTTGGCCACTCTCGCTGCGGACGCGCTGCTTTACCGAGGGATTCTGCACGAGTCGCGGATGACGGGCTCGTGTTGAGGGTAGCGGACGAGATCCGCGTGGATTTTTGGGGTCGCTGCTGGTGAACCTTCGTCGAGATCGTAGTCTGGCCTTAATCCTTTACTTTGATTTGTGTGAATCAATGAGACATATTATTCTCTCAAACGAAGAGCTCTAAATAATCTCTCTAAGCAATCTGAAGTATTGCTCTCGTGGACGATTGTATGTGGCGCAATTAGACTGTACACATTGCGGAAATTGTGTCGCAATTATTTTCATTTATATTAACAATTCGTATTTGCATTAATAAGTATATATGAATTGCTGGTTTAATCTGGGAATAATTAGCGGACTTTAATTCGGTAACTTTAATTCGGTTTTTTACACGCTATCGAAGTTAGATCACGAAGAAGACCGATTTTGCATAGTAAATTATTGTTGAAAAAAGTAGTCGTACAAGGAAAAAAAGTATTGTATTCAAACAAATACACTGCAAATCCAAGTGTGTTATATTAACTGAGGCTTCTTTACACATTTCTTGCCGTTTTAAATCGCATCATTTATTTAACGCAATTAAACATTTTAAATGACATAATTTAAAACGGCAAGAAACATATAAAAAGAGCTTCAACCAAATGTATCATTCTTCGATGTTTATGCATGTAAAAATAACACACTTGGATTTGCAGTGTAATTATTCGAGTACTCCTTAACAAATTTCTACTTGGAAGTAATATTTACTTGATTTAAATAAAACATATTCCAAGTAAATTTTATGCAAATAAAAAAAAATATATTTACTCGATTCAAGTAAAATTGATTTAATCCACGTGAAAATTTGTTAAGGGGTATTGAAGTAATTATTTACTTGAAACTGACACTTTTTTCTGTGCATTATTATTATTTTATTATATCCGACCTCCGCCACTATATGAATTCCCTACATTCCGTGTAAACCTTCGGCCGAGTAATTTGAAACTTGCTTACGCACGGAGGAACTACGGCAAAATTGCAATTATGGATTATTTCGAGATGTCTACTAACTTTCCGGTGACATATGGGCCGCGTCGTGGCGAAACGGCGATATTACGCACAAGTGCCCCGAAATTGTTCGGAAAACATGCGAAACTTTCCTTATACATTATCCTTCGTTATTATGTATATTACGCCGGCGTGTTCGCGCGAGGCGCATTATATGGAACGAACGTTTATTGATCATCTAATTTTGCATTATTCGCGCGAAGTATATTATATTATCATTAATACAGTATAATATTACCACTTAATGTTTCCGACGAGACATTTAAAGGTCTCGCGCCGCGGCTCCCGCGGAGTTCTCTAAATTGAATTTTAAATTCGACGTTATTTACATTTCTATTAGCTCGTTACCCATGCATTACCTTTTCATAGGACGCGATAATCGGATGGAACTCGACGCGGAAGCCACCGCGGCATACTGAGATTTTACGACGGCAGTCGAATAATCGAGGTACGAACATTATTAAAATAACCAATCGGCGTTGCGCTCGGGCTGTTGAAAACAACTCTCGCGATCTCGTATTAATTACTTCATTTTTTCTCTCAAGGGGGTGCATATTTTCCACTTTTACCGATAAAATACTGACTTTTTTTCCACAGAATTTACGTCTTATTGGTTGCGCAGAATTATAAGTGCTTTTACACAATGAATGTACGCAAAAATGGATTGGAACATTGCTCGATGCGTGGCAAAAATGATTAAAAATTTCCAACTGATATTTCTGTTAACTGTATAACTGTTGGCGTAAATGTTTACTTGATATAGGAATAGCCTGCGGCTTGTAAATATCTTGCTTGCTTTGTGCTTACGCACCGAATGCGTCAATGCTCCAATTAGGAAAATTTCAAAATACTTTTATATCCTCTCATATCCTTTCAACGACATTTAGAGACAAAAGATACGAAAAGTTTGGACAAAATTTCTGTACATCGCATTTACACTTATATCGCATTTACATTTACGTAAGATCTATACGTACGAAAGATGCAAAAAGAATAGCGTGATCATGTCAGTGTATAATGTAACATTTTGAATAACGTCTTTTCGTCCTTTATCGATTTTGGCATTCCCTTAAGAGAGAAATCCTCTTCCTTTTTTGTGGACATATGCCTATCGATATGCGTTAACACCCTATATTATACGCGTTATCGCAACGATAACAGAGTCGTATCACGATATCACAGCTGATATCGGCTGAAGTATGTTTTCAAAACGGAACGTCATAATTCCGCGATTAATAAAGCTGGCAATAGATTATTATCCGAGAGGCATTGTCCGCCGACGTTCCAACGTGCCTGCGTTGGAGCTGTTCGACATCAACGGCGGATTTTTATTGCCCGCGGACGATCCATAAAAATTCATAATGAAACGCGCGAATGCCGAGGGACGTGCGATGCCAGTTTAGCAGCGTCGTCGTCCTACGAATCAGGCGCGATCAACGGCCGGAAACAACCACAGCAACTCCGATTGGACGGTTGCGGTAATAACGGCGCGCTCTCGCGAAATAACTGGCGAGATCTGCGAACGATGTTTGATCCGTCGCTGATCAACAAAGCCGTCGGTTCGCGCGCCCGTTGATCCACCGCAAAGACGCGCACATTCAATGGCCGAACCTACGGCGAAGCAGCGTTAATCGACGCTAATTGATAACCGAACAACCGACGCGAACCAACAACGGCAACCGGCCGCCGAATATCGTCTCAACACGAACCGCAGCCGAAAGTAACCAGTAATCGATGGCCAAGCGACGCTAATTAACCGGCAAATTCCGCGCTGGACAACGCTAAGCAACATTAAGCGATGTTAACTAACGTCGTCGACGATATCGCATCAGTACGCGTTATTGTTTGATCAAGTACGCCGCAATCGTCCCCCGTTGCGCGACTGTATCGAGGCAGTTTCACGTGCGACGGGACGCGCAAACTCGCACGACGAAACTGCGCGCGTTCCGCTTTTCGCCCGGCAAGTTTTTTTCAGCAAAAATGTTTGCAATCGCGAGCACAGTCCGCCGCGTTTGTACGCGCGCGCGCTCGTCGCTCGAGGAACTCTCTTCAAAGACTAACTACCAGGCCGCGCTTGCGAACGCGGCACAACAAATCTCCGCGCTCGAAAATAAACTCGTCGCGAGTGATTTGTGTTCTATCTCGTTTGACTGCCGCTAACACCTCGCGCGCGGGATTTACGTCTAACGTAAAAAATCACGCGTTCGAAAGAGGATAAACGTTGGGGAGGGAAAAGGTAGAGAGAGGAAAAATGAGCACGCGAAGGGCTGAATTTTATGAAATATCTAATTCCCGCGCTACAATTATAATAAAGCGCGCCGGGCGCGTGCGTTTCACGGTCGTCGCGTGCGACTGCCGATTCGAAAATTGTGTGCATTTGCGAAATATGCGAATATTGCTTTCCTGCCGGCAGTTTACAAAGACAATAAATAAAAAAATAATAAACTTAATAATTCGAGAAATACCGAAAAAATACAAAGAATCACGGGGTTTTCATTTTTTTTTCCGTGATATAGAGAAACCTATGATATTATTTCAGCATCAAGATCGCGAATGTTACTCTCAAACGGAAAAAAATTATTTGCTCCGGCACAACAAATTTTGTAATTCAATTTTATTCTGCAGCAAAATCTATTAGTAATTATATGTGAATTATATATGATTACTGTTTACGTCTTAAAGCATGATTGTGGACAAGGGGTATCTGAGACGTAGGTATTTTTTTTCCCTCCCTCTTTCCTCTGTTTCTCACTCCATCAATATTTCCCTGCACGATACCTTTGAAAATATATAGTCACATTAAAAAGAAATTTCTTTGAGTTTTCCTTCTTTTAATCGCCACACATTTCCAGGAACGTAGGATTAGGAACACAGGCTCAGACTAAAGAATTAGCGTTCTAGGATTAATAGAACGAAATCGAAGATGTGTGCCGGACATCCATAGACATCCACCTGCTCTCTCGATCGTCCGATTACGACGGAATACGAGAAGCGGGGAATAAGCGGGCGAGCATTTTTCCTCCGTTTGGTGAAAACGTAATCCGCTCTTTCTGCGAATCATTATCGTGACCTCCCGTGGAGCCACTTCTCGGTATTAGCAAACCCGATTTTTTAATGGACGCATACGACCGCACGCCTAGCGCGAGCGCGCGTATTTTCGGCCGTGCATTTAAAGCGGCCGCAGTCGCCAGGCTGAAAGCCGCCACCACCACCGCCACCATCACCACCGTCGTCACCACCACCACCACTACTCGTCGGGGGAATAAAGTAAAAATTTTCACCGTTACGCGTGCGAGTCTGGCCGCAGTGACAGCGCATTTCCTACCGCGCGTGCGATTTCATAAAACCTCTTCCGCGCGGCTTCCCGTCGCTCATTGCGTAACCATGGAAATTTAGTGGCGATAAAGTGCGTCCGGTTTTATCACCCGTAATACAAAAAAATGCATAAACTACAGACGCGTTGAGACAGCCGTAAAAAAGCATCACGTTACTTTTATGTTAAGGTGCACTGACGGAGTAAGGGACCCGTATATGCAAGTTACGATTGTATCGATCGATTTCGCAGATGTGTGAATCTATAAGCTCGACTTTTGACATGTATCACGAGTGGCGATGGCCTCTCCATTTGTTTCGATAATGCCCTTTTAATATAATGCCGTTTTAATATAATGTCCCTATCTCGACTCGCTATGTCAAGGGCGATTCTTATAGGACGTTGTCGAGGAAATTGGAAATGTTCACGTATGTTCTTTTCACCGAAGAGTTTATTTTAACGTCGGTGTAACGACACATTGTGTTTGGAAACATTTCTTCTTAATAAGGAGAGTCTACGACCAATTATTTGAAGCTTAGAAGCCAGGAAAGGTTATAACTTTATTCCGACGTCGACGGTATAAGCAACAACATACTCGATATACGGAATTTTGCAACGAAAATACGATTTTGATGTAGGTCACCTTTATGCCGGCGAGATCGACTTTCGCATCTTGGCAAGATGTGTATGTGACAATGAAAACTGCTGGGGAACCCGGTGAAAAATCGCACTCGTTTCGGCGAGACAAAGAAGATTTCAATGGA